GAATACAGCATTGTGGCCTACTTGTTATTTTTATGTAAAATACAAACGTAACATTTTTCTGTCAACACAGTAGGGAAAGTGTCGCGAAAAAAAAAAAAAGTCACTTAAAATTGTAAACAAAAGAACAAAATAGTTGGCCACTGCGAAATTAAATGGTTGTTTAAACTATCAGTTTAACGAAAAAATGTCCCAATGTCGAATTCAAGGTCTCTCCTACAAAAGAAAATATGCATATATAAATGCAACAATAAACGACATCTCAAAATTATAAACTATTAATCAAATGAACGAAACTTACTTAAAAAAATCCAAATTATTTTAAATTTCCATGCAGGAAAAGAATGTCACTGACTGATGAGGGTTTCAGTACTGAACGTCTCTCCTCCAAAATCCGACCACAAAGGCTGAATGCTCTCTCGGAAGGTGCACTTGTTGCCGGGATGCAGAGGACAAATCTTGCAAGGTTGCTCAGGGCAGGGAACTGGGAACTGTTGGAATTCCACCACTGCAAAATGTTTTGTTGACTTGATAATTCAAGTTTCATGGTCCTGTACTCCTGAATCTGAACATCTAGTGATTTTGATCCACATGATTCTTCCTCTTCCTCCCAATCTGAAAATTTATGAAGAACAGTAGGCCTTTTGGCAGGTGTTGGTTCAACATCCTCATCATGTGCATGATCAAACTTTAAATCTTCGATCATCTCCTTGACTCCCTGTATCACATTCTGTCGCCCTCTTTCATCTAACATTCTCAGACCTCGCAGATTTGGTGTCAGAAAGGTTGCTATTTTATAAAGCATGTGAACAGAATGGGATGAAGTGCTGTCTGCTGACAGTAATTCTTTCAGCCGTGTTACACAGACGGTTGCAATTTCAGAGAGCAGAGGGTCTTTTGTGGCTGATGTACAGTGCTCAATTAATCGCACAGACCACGGAAGAACAAGTGAGGCACTGGGAGCTGTGTTATCAGTTTCCAAGTCGTCAGTTGCCTCTTTGAAGGGTTTTAGGAATGATACTAGTAACTTAAGAGTACTGATGCTAATGCGTCCGATCTTGTCATAATTATTGCTCTCAGTCAGCACAGATGCAATGTCTTCGTACTGTTCCAAGACAGAATTTAACATGTCAAAGTTAGAGTTCCATCGTGTCTCTATGGATTGTTTCAGTGACTTTTTAAGCTTGCCCTGCTGTCCTGAGTGTTTGAAATATGTAACCAACTTTTTAACATCAGTCAGAAGGCTAGCGATCTCTGGAGACTTTTCGATTATGGCAGTACCAAACGCACTGGAGAGAGTCACGTTTAGTATGTGCGCTGTGCAGTTTAGCCTCGTGTATTCTCGTAAGGCACTGATCATGTTGGCTCCACGATCTGTGACAAAAATAATCTTTTTGCCCATGTCTGTCGCATCAATGCCAAACACTCTGAGATTCTGCAGCAGGTGCTTTCGAATGTTTTCACCTGTCTTTGAGGTGCTTGGGTCAAAAAAGGGGCAGCAAAAAGCACTCTTGAATGTAGCTCAGATTGCTCATTAACGTAATGGATGGTTGCAGACAAAAAGGACGTTTTTCGATATGTTTCTGTCCATATGTCTGCTGTAACAGCGCATCCAAACTTCGATATTGTTGCAGTGATTTCCTCCACAACATGTTTACGTAGACTCTGAGCCCTCATTTCAACATTTCTTGACACCGTTGTGGGGTGTGGTAGTATCTCACAGACATCGAATTTTCCTATTCTTGCTGCTGTGTCGACCAAATGTTGGGCCAGCTGTGTGAAGCCTTTTCGGAGATGGTATCATACGGTCGAATGTCTTGGCAAACAAACTGAACACATTTGTCTCTGGTTTCTTTTTTAAACTTCTCTGGCACCAGCAAAGATTTAGTAAATGCCAGTTTTGTTTGCCCCTTTGTGATGGGACATGAGTGCCGCCTTAAACCTGAGGTTCCAGTCTTGTGACTGCAAAAGGGTAAAACTTTGAGGCATTTATCGCATTGTACAAAGGGTAATTTTTTTCCATTTGCGTCTATGACGCATGAAAAAGACTCCCATACATCAGACTTGCCTGATGTGGGTTTCCTTAAAGTAAACTGACCGTTGTCTAATCCCAGCTGAACGTCCTTCAAGGAAATTGCATCTTCAGTTTGCTCTGCCATGTTGGTAAAGCGCGCTCTGATGCAGGTGATGCGCGCACAGAGTCACAGACTGTGCAAGTAAAATGCACGTGCAAAAAGCACTGATCCATGCGCTCAGTGCGTGTAACAGGCGTGAGCACTGGCTGTACCAGTGCTCAATTAGAATGAGGAAATCACAGATATGCTGTTCCGAAAAAATGTCGGGCACGCTATATTTTCAGACCGCCCGCTCCCGTTCAAATTACACCAGAGTTACCGACCGCTACCGCATTTTATTTGGAAATTTATTCCCGCGCCGCAAGAAATCTGGTCGGGTCCCGCGGGACAGCCGCGGGAATGCAGACCTCTACGTGACTCGACGGTTTAATCGTTAATTTCAGCAATGACTCAGACCTAAAGTGAAGGAGTTCAGTATTTGCTCAGTATATTTGGACCAAACTTTAGAAGGATAAAGTTAGAAGTTAGAAAAATAACATTTTTATTACTGTTCATTAACATGTCAAATGAAAAAGCAAAAATGCAGCACATTTAAAACATATACATCAGACAGCATGGCATGTGTATTCTGTTGAATATTGTTCAAAGTCCCAATGTAGGTATTTCTATTGAGGGTCTTTTTCTGTCTTCCAAACAAAAGACCTTTGTTATTCACTGGAACACACCGCACCATTTTCTGAAATGTGTGCATTTATACTGATCCAGTGCTATGAAGTCAGATAAGCTAGGTTCATTCAACTCGACCAAAATAAATAAATCAATAATGAACAGACTGAAGGCTGGATTTATTGTTTTGCTGTACAAAAGAGTAAACACTGCAATAACCTGCACATCGATGACAGAAGAATAAAAACACAAGTCTTTTAACAGAATTAAAACAGCTGTGTTTAATAAAAATGAAATCCAACATACAACAGCAGCCTACTATCTCTACACAGCTGAGAGCTGCTTGCCATAACTGTGTGAATGTAAAAAGTTTTCTGCTTCTCTTTCTTGATTTATACCAGACCTATGATTCTATATAGGCAACATTCCCACATTACACTTTATGTGTGGCCAAATTATTAAGTACTGGAACATATTCATTTGAGAAATAAACAAAGTTTAGTTTATTCAGGTAGTGTAGTTTTTAAGTTGAGGATAAATGTTTTTTAAGCTGGGAAATTACACAGAATGAACTCTGGTTCCTGTGTGGATTCGCTCCTGGTACTCCAGCTTCTTCCCACCGTCATGCCCAGCTGGGTCTCTTAATTTCAAACCCAGTAGCATAAAGTCAGACAAACTAACCATTAACAATCAGTTAGTTAAATATGTTCAGTAAAAATGACACATGTTCCTTCATCCTCCTTTTTCTTAACCTCCTAAGACCCAAACTCTTTCATGGCATGCATTTTTAATTTCTCTTTGCTATTTGGGCTGATTGGGACCTGATGAATGTAAAAACAAAGCATTAGCTGATTTTTTTTTTTTTACCTGATTTTTGTTTTTGAGAAAAATGGGATCCTCATAAGAGGACATTCATTTTAAATTTCAATAGAACAGTGGCAGTATAATGTCCTCATTAGTAGATATCAGGCCCTTTGTAGAGCAAAATTTAGTAGTTTGGTCTCCACAACCCAAAATGTGATGTCCACATATGTGGATGCCAGGTCCTGGGAGGTTAAGCTGATAGATAGCCAACAGCAGCACAATGTAAGAGAATTCAGTTGTTCAGGCTTAATATTTGATTTATTCTTAACTATTTAATTGCATATCACTTCTCAGCTCTAGCCCGCTCTTTGAATTTCACAGCGAAACTTCAAATCAGGATTCTTCATCTTCTTCTTGTAGTCTTCATCAAACTGCTCATTCTGGGCCACAGTGAAGTGGTTCTTCCAGTCACCAACTTTCCCTGGAGAAGGAGAACATTCAAAGTATTTGATTATCCTAATAATAAACTGAACATATATTGGTGCCTATACTGAGAAAAAACTAAAGTTTCCCAGCAGGCAGTTGTACCTTTTCTCATAAAAGGAGAAACCTCGTGGTTCAGCTTGCGAGCTGTGGTATAGTTGGTCATCTTGTTTTGCTTCATGCTGTCAAACGTCACACTGGCTCTGATTCTTTCCTTCTCTTCAGCTGATGGAGACAAACCAAGGAAGGAACACAGTCGGTCTATTTCTTTTTCATAGTCCTGTTAACATAAATGAAAATATGAATGAGTTTAAAAGAGATGTTTCATCCCTAAATTTTATTAATTTTTCTTCTTTTGGTCTGTAGTACTGTATGACTATAATACTTTTTCATCAAGACAAATTTGGTGCGAGATGCTCTCCTTGGGAGATATTAGGATTCGACAGACTTCCCTTTAAATATGTGACAATTTTGATTTTTTTTATGCATCTTAAAATGTCAAACCTTCAAGATTAACAAAAAAACAGATTTCATTTATGTGTTTCTTTATTTTTTATGAACTTTCAATTTGAAGATGTCAAATTTGATCTTTTTTTCTTAATTATTAGTAATGATGGCAATAAATAAATGCTCACTTGTAGCTGGTTAATGTTTAAACTTCTGATACTACATCTACAGTGGCTTGCAAAAAGTATTCGGCCCCCTTGAACTTTTCCACATTGTGGGGTGTGCGTAATTATTCAGCTCCCTGAGTCAATACTTTGTAGAACCACCTTTTGCTGCAATTACAGCTGCCAGTCTTTTAGGGTATGTGTCTACCAGCTTTGCACATCTAGAGACTGAAATCCTTGCCCATTCTTCTTTGCAAAACTCCTAATGTCGGGTCGGTCCAAATTAAGCATCCATATCATCAACAGAGATAATATGGATATCGGAGATTTCCATACCAGAGTGGTCAAGTTCTTGTCAAGCTGGGGCAGGATGGATAATTCTTTGTTTTTGTTGTGTTTTTAACATTTAATGTCACAATTCCAACCCTGCTCCTTTATCCGGGCTTGGAACAGCAAAAGTGACCTGAAATTGGCACTCTGGTGAAATTAATTTGTGTGTGTGGGTGTGTGTTTATTAGTAGTTTTAAACCTTGTGATCCACAAAAATGCATAACAGTAATCTATTTATACCGCCCACCCCTAATTCAAACCTCTTGCCAAGTTTGGTGCCACTAGTTTACTGTGAGCAACTCCCAGCCTAAAGCGCTAAAAACAATAAAACCCTACCCTTACTTACATAGTCTTCAGTGGTGTACTGAAGAGCAAGTATCACACCGGAAAACAAAGCGCCCTACAGGAGTTTCCCCACCGGAAGTAGTATATGCTAAGGTGCACTGTATTCAGGGTCTGCAGCCTTAAAGGCCGCATTTTAAGGCCGATTAGGTCACAGCGATGCAACGAAGGCTGTCCCAATTCAAAGGCTGCTCCAAATGCGGCCCTCATTTTCCTGAATTTTAAGGATGGGTTGGTGTATCCTCCATGGCCCAACATATCCAAGACTTTATAGCGCGGCGGTGGTGTGGATAATTTTGCCGGAAAAAAACGGCAGAAGCGTGGCACCCGAAGAGTAAACTTTTTTTAAAGTAAGTACTGAATATTATGTCACTTATTTACGCACAAATGTTTAATAAAGAAGAACGTTAAAACATTACTGTTGGCCACATACCGGCAAAGTTAAGTGCCATTAGCAATTTTAGTACTAACTGGGTTTTAAAGCCTTACTTTAAAATATACGCCGTTCAATACTTGACATTAATCTTACAGAAAATGTGATACTTTTATGGATAATTAAAGTCAGTCATATATCCACAAACACAACAAGCTGAAAGTCAGTGAATGCTGCCAAATATCACGGCACAAGCAGGATCCACTGCACTGTTAATGTTAGCTATGTTATATTGCTGCCTCTGTTCGGTGGTGTCGAGCCAAACGGGCTTTAACGTGTGTTTGAACGAGCTGACGGTTCACTCGTTAAGCTGAAAGAAAGATGTTTTAATCACAGGAGTCACACATGTGTCCACTGGGAACTCTTCTTGTTTAGCACTCGTAATAACACAAACACTAAATCCTCCTTCTCTTGTGCTGTTTTGTAGCAGTGTGTACACCTGAGACTGTCACCTGTCTGTCTGTCCTGCACTCTCTCTCTCTCTTTCTCTCTGATTGTGGAATAAAAGTATGAACATGTATTTATAAGTTACACTTGTGTTTGAATCCTGCAGCTTATCACACATTTGATTTCCATGTGTGACAACTGCAAGTGTCCAGAGTGAGGACAGACTGAGGGACCCACTGCTGCACATCACCTGTGAGGCTTTGCACCCCTGATGATCCACCAGGACAAACTCAGCAGTGAGGAAGAGGAGGAGGAAGAGCCAGCTGACAGATGGAGAGAATAGACAGACTGTTCCCTGTTTGTGAAGGACTGCTAGGAAAGTTTAAAATAACTAATTGCCTGTCCTGAATCAGTCTCATTAGGTAATGTTCAAAATATTTTATCATTCCAGTGTTTTCAGTGTGGGAGAAAGTACTCAGGGCCTTCAAGTTACACACTATGAAAGGCAGCAACAAGTTTAATATTCAGAAACCTAAAGTACAAACCGGATTCCAAAAAAGTTGGGACACTAAACAAATTGTGAATAAAAACTGAATGCAACGACGTGGAGATGGCAAATGTCAATATTTTATTCAGAATAGAACGTAAATCACAGAACAAAAGTTGAAACTGAGAAAATTGATCATTTTAAGGGAAAAATATGGTGATACAAAATGTCATGGTGTCAACAAATCCCAAAAAAGTTGGGACAAGGCCATTTTCACCACTGTGTGGCATGTCCCCTTCTTCTTACAACACTCAACAGACGTCTGGGGACCGAGGAGACCAGTTTCTCAAGTTTAGAAATAGGAATGCTCTCCCATTCTTGTCTAATACAGGCCTCTAACTGTTCAATCGTCTTGGGCCTTCTTTGTCGCACCTTCTTCTTTATGATGCGCCAAATGTTCTCTATAGGTGAAAGATCTGGACTGCAGACAGTACCCGGATCCTTCTCCTACGCAGCCATGATGTTGTGATTGATGCAGAATGTGGTCTGGCATTATCTTGTTGAAAAATACAGGGTCTTCCCTGAAAGAGATGACGTCTGGATGGGAGCATATATTGTTCTAGAACCTGAATATATTTTTCTGCATTGATGGTGCCTTTCCAGACATGCAAGCTGCCCATGCCACACGCACTCATGCCACCCCATACCATCAGAGATGCAGGCTTCTGAACTGAGCGTTGATAACAACTTGGGTTGTCCTTGTCCTCTTTGGTCCGGATGACATGGCGTCCCACATTTCCAAAAAGAACTTCGAATCGTGACTCGTCTGACCACAGAACAGTCTTCCATTTTGCCACACTCCATTTGAAATGATCCCTGGCCCAGTGAAAACGCCTGAGCTTGTGGATCTTGCTTAGAAATGGCTTCTTCTTTGCACTGTAGAGTTTCAGCTGGCAACGGCGGATGGCACGGTGGATTGTGTTCACTGACAATGGTTTCTGGAAGTATTCCTGAGCCCATTCTGTGATTTCCTTTACAGTAGCATTCCTGTTTGTGGTGCAGTGTCGTTTAAGGGCCCGGAGCATCCAGTATGGGTTTACGCCCTTGACTCTTACGCACAGAGATTGTTCCAGATTCTCTGAATCTTCAGATGATGTTATGCACAGTTGATGATGATAACTGCAAAGTCTTTGCAATTTTTCGCTGGGTAACACCTTTCTGATATTGCTCCACTGTCTTTCTGCGCAACATTGTGGGAATTGGTGATCCTCTACCCATCTTGGCTTCTGAGAGACACTGCCACTCTGAGAAGCTCTTTTTATACCCAATCATGTTGCCAATTAACCTAATCAGTGTTAATTGGTCTTCCAGCTCTTCGTTATGCTCAAATTTACTTTTTCCAGCCTCTTATTGCTACTTGTCCCAAGTTTTTTGGGATTTGTTGACACCGTGTAATTTTAAATCAACATATTTTTCCTTTGAAATGATACATTTTCTCGGATTAAACGTTTGATCTGTCATCTACGTTCTATTCTGAATAAAATATTGACATTTGCCATCTCCACATCATTGCATTCAGTTTTTATTCACAATTTGTTTAGTGTCCCAACTTTTTTGCAATCCGGTTTGTATGTATCAGCAGCAGAATGGACCTAAAAATAAATGTATTTCTGCCCAGTTTGACCCATTTAGCAGAAGCCAGCCTGTTTAAGGCTCTGATATCTATTCTGTATGACTTAAAGCAGTTATGACATGGTCTGATTTTCTCACCCAATAAAGGAATATTTAATATATCAGTCTACTCTTCATTTTATCAGAAACAGTTATCACAGCTTGTACATTTTCTTTTTATAAATGTATGTAAGCAATGAGCCAAATTTAGTAATGCCAACATACTGAAGGAACAACATTTGTCTCCTATATATGATACACCTATATATGCACTGTCAAAGATACTTGTCTTTGAGTGAAGATTTAAGGTGATAAGACATAAATAACTGCAACTTGAATCTGTACTGAGGCTCAGTATTTGACACAGAGTTCATGTTCACTGCTGTAATAGCTAATAATGATTAATATAATAACTATAATATTGGCCATATTATATTTACATTACCAAAGTGATATGACTTTAGTCTCATGAACAACATTAGCTAATTCTTATTTACTAACTAATCTTAAATGACTGTTCAGTACAGAAATGAAGCCCAAAAATCATGTTTTACTGTCCTGTGGTCTCAGCCTCAGATACTTATCAAATCACACAAAGCTCTTGTAGAAACAAACAAACAAATGAACAAAATATGTTCTCCTTCATTTCTGTCAAACAAAGTTGTATGACACGTTTCCAGCAGTTAGTATCATGGTTGCTAGGCAACCTGGGAAGCGCGACGGAGACTAGACCGTCCCATTTCACAAGCCTCTCACTTCCGCACGTCTCGTACTTATAGTACGCACCGTACGTAGTGCGCGTACTTCAAGCGTGCAGACCCTGCCACAGCCTGAGAACCGTCACAGACAACGGGGGCGGGGCTTAAGCTCGGACAGATCAAAGGCCTTTGCAACGTCACATCAAAGGCCTTTGCAACGTCACAACAAAGGTGCTTCGAAGGAGCTCCCAAATAGCATAAATAGAGCCTTGGCGACACTCTACACCAGTGCACTCCAAAGTTGGTCCGTCTAAAGTATCGCTGAGTCTAAAATACTGCTGAAAGTCAACCGTTATTAAATATGTCTCACGTTTATGGTAGAGCTAACGATCACGTTTCCCGTGCAAAGGTTTGCACAACTGAAGAATTGCGGGCTGAAAAAGAAGCCACAAAAAAGGAGAAAAAATGCGTCAGGTTTGCAACGCTCCCATCACTCCACAACGGCTGGGAGCACACAATCCGACCAACGACAGAGAGAGTGCGGGACGTACAAAGGGTAAGTCGGGAGTGGGGTGAGGCTGGCAGTAGTGATCGGGTTGGTTTCTTCCGTTGTCAGCAACGGAGCAGCTCAGAACAAACAGCACCTAAAACGGAATGCCTGTTTGTTAATAAATCAAATAGGGTTGTGTCTGTAGCTAAAGACTCACCAGCTAAGAATTTAATCCCACCCCTGCCTCCTCTTCCTATTAAACCGCAGAAAACACAGCGTGCCCCTATTATTAAAAAGCAACACGAGGTTGTTGCACCTTATGCACCACGCATATTAGAGACGTGGGACATAAACACAAATAAAAATGTACTTCCACCCCTACCTCCTCTTCCTATTAAACCGCAGAAAACACAGCGTGCCCCTATTATTAAAAAGCAACACGAGGTTGTTGCACCTTATGCACCACGCATGTTAGAGACGTGGGACATAAACACAAATAAAAATGTACTTCCACCCCTACCTCCTCTTCCTATTAAACCGCAGAAAACACAGCGTGCCCCTATTATTAAAAAGCAACACGAGGTTGTTGCACCTTATGCACCACGCATATTAGAGACGTGGGACATAAACACAAATAAAAATGTACTTCCACCCCTACCTCCTCTTCCTATTAAACCGCAGAAAACACAGCGTGCCCCTATTATTAAAAAGCAACACGAGGTTGTTGCACCTTATGCACCACGCATGTTAGAGACGTGGGACATAAACACAAATAAAAATGTACTTCCACCCCTACCTCCTCTTCCTATTAAACCGCAGAAAACACAGCGTGCCCCCATTATTAAAAAGCAACACGAGGTTGTTGCACCTTATGCACCACGCATGTTAGAGACGTGGGACATAAACACAAATAAAAATGTACTTCCACCCCTACCTCCTCTTCCTATTAAACCGCAGAAAACACAGCGTGCCCCTATTATTAAAAAGCAACACGAGGTTGTTGCACCTTATGCACCACGCATGTTAGAGACGTGGAAATATTAACAGCAGTAAAATATAAATAACACCCCCCCCCCCCCCCCCCAACCGGTTGCAGCAGATAGCCGCCCCTCCCTGAGCCTGGATCTGCTGGAGGTTTCTTCCTGTTCAAAGGGAGTTTTTCCTTCCCACTGTCGCCATGTGCTTGCTCATAGGGGGTCATTTGATTGTTGGGGGTTTTTTTTTCACAACAACAGTTGTGAAAATATAACTGTTGTTGTGAAAATATTCACAACAACAGTTATATTGCAAAGTCTTCACCATCCATCAGCCATTACAATACAAATAATAAAAATCTTGAAATACATAAAAATGTTGATGTTTGATTTTGTTTACTTTAGTTTTGTTTACTACTACGTGTCTGATAGTGATTGTCTGAGTAGATAAAACAGTGGTCCTGTACCACCAACATCATTATGGAGATGTGTGAAAATGACTGGGAGACAGACTGGAGGACTACTGTGAAATCAGAAAAAGCAGAGTGGGGAGATACTTCCTGTACATTGCTTCTCCAGCTGTTTAAATTACATTTTTCTCAGCAGCAACAGCTTTGGGGTTAGGAGAATACCAGGACCAGTTAGTGCACAATTACCAATTCATCAGCTGCATAACAGCAGCTGGAGCCTCACAGCTGGAGCGCACTGTACTGAGTGAAACATTTTCACACTTCGGCGGCTCCGCTCTTTGTGTTTGTCTTTTTTGCGCTAGATTCTGAAGCTGCAGGTTTGATCTATCTTCAAACAACATTGACTGAACCAGCAGCAAAAGAAGATCCAAACTAGCTTCACGTTTCGCTTCACATAAACATTAAATAAACACCTTAAATTCCCTCTTACTTTTGCTGTTTTAACTCCACCACGATAAAAATCACACGTCATGCAGAGCTCTCCGTCTCTCTCTCTCAGGAATAGATTCCCATAAAAAAAGTCTGTTTTCTGCGTTATTCGCTTGCTTATTACCCACCAGGCTACCGTTGTTTACAGCGCTGTCTGCCACTGGTTTTTGTTTTTTAAATTTCCAACACGTAAGCCTAATTTCTTCACTTCAGTACTGAACAAATGTATCTACTGCAGAATATTTTTAAGGTTATCTGCTATAAAATCCCAGGCCAGGAAAATCTCCTTCATGTTTTTCTGTTTTATCCTCAGTTACTTTGACACAAAGGCATCTGCTGAGATGCTTACACCTTTGATCAAGTCTCACAAGTGTCAGCTTTGTTTTTATAGATGTAAAAACAAGGATATGTACTGATAAGTGATCAGAAATACAATATTTCTGACTGTATGGGGCAAAATTTCCCTGATTCAAATATAATCACCGAAATTCAAAAATTGCAGTTTTAATTTTCGCAAATGGCGCTCAATGACTCATTAACTGACGCTACTTATCAGCCAATCGGTGGCATGTAGTCTGACGACGTCACAGTGTAGTACCTGATCAGAATGCTTGGAATCCCGGGCTGTGAACTACTATGACCTAATGGAGAACCCAGAAAAGCATTCAGGATTTTCAGACGGAGCAGAATCATGGTTCCATCAATTGTTTGATGTTCATTTTATGAAATACTGTGTTAGCTTTATGGCCTGTATTTTGGTAAATGGCCTGTATTTATATAGCGCTTTACTAGTCCCTAAGGACACCAAAGCGCTTTACATATCCAGTCATCCACCCATTCACACACACATTCACACACTGGTGATGGCAAGCTACATTGTAGCCACAGCCACCCTGGGGCGCACTGACAGAGGCGAGGCTGCCGGACACTGGCGCCACTGGGCCCTCTGACCATTTATGATCTCACTACCACAAATAACTAATTCAAACTATCCACAAACTGTCTCATGACTCCACAGAATATTTTCCCTAAGTACTTGAGGATCATCTATCTGTTTTTTTTTTGGAAAACTTAAGGGGAGGTGTTATGACCCGGCTCGAGGCTGCAACATAAAAAAGGAGACGAATATCAGAGTGTAAGTGAGAAGAGGTTTTAGCTTAAAATGACATCCCAGGTTGGCTCAAATGGCTGTTGCCACAAAGGCAACGACTAGTGAGCTTCCTGAATAGCCTGCCACAGGTATGCGTTTATTTATACCTTACTAGGTGTGGCCAATTAGCAACAGCTGAACACACTGAGGAGATTAGGGGCTGCAGAGGGGCGTAACACCACCTCACTCAAAAGGGTTCCTCTAGGACCCCTAAATTTATTAAGCCAAAGCCAAAACTTGAGCAGTTTATTACCTGCTCTCCTGACACAAAACTAAATACTTGCATTTCTTAAGTTGGCATCTTTTTTTTTTTTTTTTTTTTTTCCATCCTTTTTTTTTTTTTTTTTTTTTTAGGACAGGGGGAAAGAATGAAAGAAAGAGGGGGAGAGAAAGAAAGAAAACCAAAGGGGAGAAGAGACGGTGAGAAGGGGGGAAGAGAGAGAGAGAGAAAACAAAAAAACAGGGGAGACAGCAAACAACAAAGAGCAACATAATAATAGAAAAAAAAAAAAAAGCACCATCACAATAAACTAGCTAGTCATAGATATCAATAGTTACTAAATAATAAATGATATTGTGCAGCACGCAAGATAGACAGCGCACAGTGTGCTTTGAGGCAGCAGCCAAGAAAGCTGTAGTCCGCATCTGTGAATACCCATGTGTACACCTGTGTGCATACCTGTGTGGATCAGCATGCTTGCATTCCAAAGGTTTCTCCATGCAATGATCTGCTATAGAGTGTGGGGAGCCACAGCCCTGTCCTCTATGGTATCAAGCAGGTATGGAGGAGATCAAAACTCCAGACATCCAGAGGCCCCCAGAACACAAGAGACCAAGGAAGACCCACAGAGGGGCAGCTGCGTCACTGTCCCAGTAAGAGCTAAGGAGAGTCCCAGATGAGGGCTCATTCAGCAGCCGCGGAGCAGAAGCCAGGGGGAGTTGCAGTGACGCGCCCGTGAGCTCCGCCGGCAGCCAGCTGTGCCTGAGTGACCGAGCCCCAGGCCGAGAGGCCGGGGGCACCCCACCTCCGAGGTGGCCCGAGCGAGCCCCAATAAGCGGCCGCCAAGGAGTGAGCTGGTGTGTACCCGGACGCCCACCCCCAGATACAAAGAACCACCAACGCACCGATACCTGAGGGAGTCCGCCACCGGCAGGGGAAGTGGTGGTGGGTGGAGATAGGCCTCCAAACCTTGGAGGGCCCGAGATGTCCCCAGAGAGGTGGCGTCTGATACCCAACCTGACATATAGACACAGACATACAGGCACACACAGACACAAACATCCATTCCCACCCTCATGCTCTCATATGTACTTCACACTCAACCGACGTGGAGACAGACATAAAGGGACGCTGTATACACGATCACACTCCCCAAGCGTACTCTACTAACCGGGTCTAGGTACCCTTGCCCCTGGAGGGGGGAACTGCACCCAGACCCAGGTGGTGTTACCCTTTTCCCTGCGGTGGGGAGAGGCAGACCGCCCCGACTCCGCAGCAGCAGGGAGGCCCCAGACCGCAGTCGGACGGCCCACTCCTCCTAGCCCCCCGCTCCAGTAGGCCGCAGAGAATGGGGGTGAGAGAAGACTCCAAACCTTGGAGTTGGCATCTTTAAGCAAGGATGCCTTAGGATTTAAAGTTGCCACACTGAATGCACAAAGACTAACATGTGACCAACATAAAGGGGTACAAAGGTCAAATCCAAAACGATTATTCAACCTGCTACAACACAAAATCAGAGCAGCCACGAATAATCACATTCACAAGTGATCGGTGGTTCCACCACACAAACGGTCACATACAAGTGGCCTCATACCACAACAAGTTGCTGTAATATACAAAATTCATTAAAGCAACGCTAAAAACAATAATACCCTAACTTTACATACCTACATGCCGGCAAAGTTATGTGCCATTAGCGATGTTAGTACTAACTGGGTTTTAAAACCTTTACTTTAAAATATACGCCGCTATATATATACCTGACATTAATCTTACAGAAAATGTGATACTTTTATGGATAATTAAAGTCAGTCATATATCCACAAACACAACAAGCTGAAAGTCAGTGAATGCTGCCAAATATCACGGCACAAGCAGGATCCACTGCACTGTTAATGTTAGCTATGTTATATTGCTGCCTCTGTGGTGTCGAGCCAAACGGGCTTTAACGTGTGTTTGAACCAGCTGACGGTTCACTCGTTAAGCTGAAAGAAAGATGCTTTAATCACAGCAGTCACACGTGTCCACTGTACCATCTGGGACTCTTCTTGTTTAGCACTTGTAATAACACAAACTGTTGGATTGTGTGTCCACAGGTGTTTGTACTTTGCATCGTAATAAAATGACGGTAAAAGGCCCCGCCCATAACCTATCCATGTCTTACCATGCAACGACTCTGTGAGTGGACTGGGGAAGGGTTGTGGTAGAGTCCTCCGTCAGGAATGAGATATGTGTGCCAACCTTTTATTCTTCCTTACAATTATTATGCCATAATGTTGTAAGGAGCCGCTCTGCTAACAGGTTATGGGCCCAGAGCAGCAGGAAAGAGATCCTGGAACTGCCAAAGGAAGGGCAGCGTTTCCTGAAACCGCAAGTTACCGGCAGGTGTTAACAGTTTGGCACGATCGAGTGAGTAAGCGTTTTTGTGCATCATGAGCAGACGCATGGCAGAGTCGGGCAGTCGATATTCCCGTTTGCAGTTTGATGGAGATGAAAGGAAATATGAGATATGGGAAACAAAGTTCCTTGGTCATCTCAGGCTACAAGGTTTGAAAGATGTCATCTTGAAGGCTGAGGGTGATGAAGAAGCCGATGGTGAAGATGATGACAAAAATGCAGAAGCATATGCAGAGTTGATACAATTTCTAGATGACAAAAGTTTATCGTTAGTTATGAGAGATGCAGTGGATGACGGACGGAAAGCCCTAAAAATTTTGAGAGGTCATTATGCAGGAGTGGGCAAGCCGAGGATC